GAAAGCCCAACCACATTACTTCTGTTGAAACCAGAACTTTTCAACTCTGATTTTTTGGTTTAGCCTACGTGGAAGCAGAACAGGGAAAATGTTATTGAAAGCCTAAAAATATGAAGTACTTATCTTGTAGCACTGCCAGTAAAATAACAGGGAGCTTTAGAGACTAATTGATAAAAATCTAGAAAACAGATGAACAAGCAGGATGTCTGCAGTTTATCAAAGGAGTAATGAAGATCTGCACAAGATGCAGAAAGGAAAATACGCATATTGGAAAATAGCATGTAAAACTACATAGCATAAAATGAATATATGGTGGTGTGACTGACTGGAGCCTGCATGCAAATTTGGCAAATAGGTAACAATTAGCCAGGTTAAAAGTGCATGGCAAACATGATAGAGGATGCTAACAAATATAGCAATACACCGTACAGGTATAGGAAACTGAGTAAGTCTATAAAAAGGGGAGCTGTAACATGGATTTGGGCTGCCAGCAAATCAGACCCCATGGTGTGCTATGTGATCACCAATACAGTGGTATTTTTTCCATCAACCTAATTAAGAAATCTGTATATTAACTTTATACTGAGCTGCGTAGCTGGACAAGGTCCAGAGTGGGCCAGTCGCTGGATATACTTGGATTAGACAGATTCCAGAACAGTCAGCTGCGGCAAGGCAGTTAATAGCTATATATTAAATCTGCATCTTTGAATACCGACAGTGTCAGTTTTGGAAGTGTCTAGGGTACCACCAGTCAACCCTCTCAGATTAGCCTCTCAATAAATTCCACTGCTTTAAGATAACTCACTATCAAAATTAACAAAAATAACATAAAATTACCCTAAGATGCTTCTTAAGTTCTTCTGATTTCCAAGTATCTTCTTTGGTTCTTCTCTAGAAGAACAGAAAGATAGAAAGTGACTGAAGAATGAATTTGCAGTGAGAAATAAATCACTTGACAAATAGTTTTTCTGAGAAGAGGATCAACGTATATATGGTAAATACCATTGAATTTTGTTACGTAAACATTAATTTCATCTAGTCTTAATGTGTATACTTACGGTATACCTGATCTAACTGGACCTGGGAGAGGCCAGAAGCTCAGACTTCTTCTGGATCACTCAGCTCTGTATACACATGGTAAATAGTTTTGAAGTCACTGGCTGTGGCAGATGACAGAGGAGCCCTTCAAGGAAGGCTCAAAACTGTTTGGTCTCCCAATGATAGTCACTCATCAAAGTTACAGATGAAACAGGTGTACACAGCCATGCCAAACACAGAATCCCAGAACAATTTACATTGGAAAGGACCTACCAATGTCATTTGGTTCAACCTCCTGCTCAGATCAGATCTAATTTCAAAGTAAGTCCTGGCCAGGGGTTTATTCAGGTGAGTTTTTAAAATCTCTAAGGCTGGAGATTCCATGGCCCACCTGGGCAACCCACCCCAAGGTTTGACTTTCTTACACTCAGTTAGAACGTTCCTTGCTGCTGCTTAGGGTCGCTGCCTCCTATCCTTTCACTGCACATCTCTGAGAAGAATCTGCCTCCATCTTTTCTGTAACCCCTCATTAGGTAGCTGAAGACAGTAGTTAAGATTCCCTTTTAGTCATCCTTTCTCTAGGCTGAATGAACTCAGGTCCTTAGTCCCTTTCCCATAGATGTCATGAGCTCCAGGCCCCTAACCACCGCAGTGGCCTTCCTCCGGACACTCTCGCACTGGGGGCCCTAAAGCTGCACACAGTACTCCAGATGGGGCCTCACAACTGCTGAGCAGAGGGGAACAGTCACTGCCCTACACCTGCTGGCTATGGTCTTGATTCTGCACATACTCAGTATGTGGTTAGCGCTTGACCTCCTGAAGAGCACATTGCTGACTCTGTTCAACTTGCTGCCACGAGCACACCCAGACCCCTTTTTCTGCAGAACCACTCACAGAGTAACGCTGCTGGCGCTATTTTGCGATCAACTGTTACTTAATGCTATATAATGGCTCACACTATACATGTAAGTTGACCGCCATATGAAATATTAGTAGGTAAAACTGAAGTAAAAAAGGTGGAAAGATAATGAAAATAATCAGAGTATACATGGAAATTGTTTCACTAGACTTCTCCCTAGTTAAATAGAGAGTTAGACAGTTCCTTTTACCCTCATTTGCAAAGTTACTGCTCTTAACTGCTTGGCTGCTGCTAAAAAAAAAAAAAAAAACAAAACCATTCCTATTATCTGAAATCACTAAAGAAAATGAGGAATTTTAATCTAGTGAATACTTTTTACTACTTCATTGATGATGATATTCAAAGGGATATGACTAGGTGTTATTTATTCTCAATTTTAGGTTTGGTTAAAAGTTACCAAAGATTAATAAAATCATTGCTAATAAATATTTGAATGATGAGCTGCACTGGTGGAAAAATAAACATATGGTGCCCTTTTTGTTAACTCATAATATGGAAACAGGATTTAAAAGCATGTTTTAGCTTTTCAATTATTCTTTACTGAAAAATTCTGGTCTTTTCAAACTTAGGTTTTTATAGAAGAACACAATGGACTGGTGGACTTTGGCTGAAGTTGAAGTAAGTACCAAGAAGCTAAACTCAGATTAAAAAAAAAAAAAAGTGACCTTTATAAGACTGAAGTTCTGTTTTCTTCTGATCTTTAAAAAAGACAAAAAAGTACAAGTATCTACTACTGCAGAATCCCAGAGGAGAAACTAAAAGCAAAGATGGCAATTTTCCTGAGTGAAGTTTTGATAGACTTTGTTAAAAAGTTAGGCAAACTCACCTACAAAGCTCGTATGGGAAGGTAAACAGACAGGAAGGCTAATAAGCACACAAGATAGAAAATTAGACAAATATCAAAGCGATACCTTTTATAGAGCTTAAAGAAACTTAATACCTTTGAAAGCACTGTCCCTCCTCTGTCAGGAACTAAAAAAGTCTCATAAGAGTCATTTGTATACAAAAAAAGACAATTTTTAATTATATTTTTAAAATTAAACTTAGAAATTACCTTCAGCTCAAACAATTCCAAATTCATCAAATAATAAAGAATAAAAAATTATTTAAACTAAGTAATTATTACTTCTGTACTAACAGGCTTTTTGAGAAAGCCAGATCCCTGCTCTGCAGGAAGCTGCTGATTAAGTTCAAAATCAGAATTTTTGAACTAACGAATCACCTTTTGAAATCTAGAAGTTCCATTCAATTCTGTTTAGTTCAAATTTTTTTAGATAAGGAGAGTTTGTTATCATCTAACCCATACTTTAAAAGTAGGTTTGAGAGCTTGAGTTCTGCAAGTTCCAAATTCCTGAAGAACGTGAAATCACTTCAATTCAGACAAAACTTCATTGGTTTAATACCTCACATACATAATTATGTTTTGATAATTTTTTCCTTCATATGAGAACACAGAAGGACAAAACAGTGCTGGTATAACTAAAAAATGTAATTAAAGGTTGCATTTTTACTGAGTTTCAGTTTCCATCCAAAAGTGATCACAAGCAACCATAGCACACCAAATTAAAATAGTAATCAGCATTTTCTAAAACAGTTAAAATATTAAGAATCTGAATAAACATAAGGTAAAATACATATACGTTTAAGCAACGTTATAGCTTATGTTCCTAGCTTGTAAAAACAAACATTTAGTATAAAGCCTCAAATTAATATATGTTAACGATTACCAACAAAGCAGAGTCAGTACGTTTTGCTTAGAGAAGTAACAAGTACAGATATAAACAAAATTCAAAAGGATTTATCAAAGTCGCTCACTTGTCTGCTCATTTAAAACTTCTGATATACTCTTTTAAATCCAGATTAAAGTTAGTTATTTAAACCACACCAGGGTTTAACCCAATCCATTCATCTGAGATCATGGGGAGCTTGTCAACTGATATAAGATGCCACCCTAAAAGAGCTGTGACAATTTGGAGTATTTAAGAATGTGCTCTCTAAACTAAAGGGGGATAAGTATGTTGCCTTATGAAGTCAGCTGATGAGATCACCTTGCTACTTTAGATAAGCTCTTTAAGAGAGACGGAGTGATGTTTCTTTGCTTGAAACATAGAAAGATTGGGGATTTTCAGGACTTGATTAAGGAAGGCCTTGAGCAACCTTAGTTTAACTATGGAGTCAGGCCTGCTTGGAGCAGCTTGGACTACATGACCTCCAGAGGTCATTTCCAACCTGCTTCTTTCTATGATCACAAAGGAATAGAAAAAACAGTAAGGGACATTTCTGTCGTCTTCAATCTAGAGAAAGGTAATTTATTCTTTACATATAAATACATATCTTTCTTATGTCTAACTATGAGTTGACTATTTGAGAGCCCTTGTAGATAACGCAAGTGAAAGCTTAACTTTCTACCAAAATTCACTAACTTATTTACTTTTAATAAAGACATTATTGATCTGCCACAGTTACTGAAATTACATCTGAATGACAATTTTTAAAGCGTGATCTTGACTAGAATACTGTATCACATACTTAGTCCAGCCACTATATTTTCTATTCATAGGAATATGATCACAAATGAATTAAATTAACTGTGGAGTTGAGATTCACAGCATAGTAGTATTAAAATTTGTGGTAAAGCGATTTGATACTTTTGTTTTTCATAAGATTTTGCAACATGCAAGCTGATGGTAACATTTTGATATGTTTTGGGGTTTTTACTTTGCAGCTCTATAAACTTTTTATAAACTACCACTTATGCAAAAGTTGAGTGGATTGCTGAGGAAATAAAACCAAAAAATAATACCCATTGAAGGGGCAATTATTAAAGATACTCATCTACAATCTGCAAAATTAACACATTTGACTATTGTCAAAAATCTTCTCTCTTCTAGAAAGTTCTGTGGCTCACGAGGCACAGAATAATTCCCCTTTTAGTAGGGGAACACAGACTTCATCAGAGTGCTGACAACCTTACTGCAGGCTCTCGCGTTGCGCCAACGTAAAGTCACACAGCATAAACGCCCTCTCCGAGTCCGTGAGTGATCCTGACAGAGCAGGGAAACGCGATTTGCCAAAGTAAGGACACGGGGATGCGCAGGGCCAGCAAGAGCAGCGCGGGGCGGGGCGGGGGGGTGTCCCGGTCTCTCGGACACACGGA